TTGCCGTCGTTACATTTACTGATATGATGGATTTATGTAAACGTACATGTGATGTGGTGTTTATATTTAATACTTGTGATGATAATATTTCATGAAAGTGAAACGATAACAGAAATAATAGTCATAAAAATTGCAATTTTTTCAAAAAACTATTTTATCTTGTTTTTGCTACATTTTCTTTTTTTTCCACTGCGACATTTCAGTTGATTATTCGAGATAGAAAGTATTGTCGGTTCATTTCTCCTCAGCAGTGATTTGTGGAGAATTATTTTCCGTTGATGAGCTTTCGACAGTATCGGCACGTACGAAACGTGATGGAAACCAGCCAGTGCTGAAAATGATAATTTGTTTCTTGAAGACGTGAAGTAAGTTATTTGTTCTTTGTTTTCACTCATTTATTCGTCTATGCAGTGACTACAAGCCACTGCTATTCGTTCATAAAACGTACCGTTGTGTATCGACATGTTTCGCAAAAATCCATCCCTTCGAGCCACATTTCATCAGAATCACTTTTTCACCGTTTTTCAAACTCAACTGATCAGCCGTTTGTCCATGGAAATTGTGGATGCATACCAAGGTTTTGCCGTAATCAGACGTCATGAAAGGTGCTTGCACGAATGCTGTCGGCACTGCATTCAGTTGTGAAGCACGGAACATCACTTCTTTAAATTTTATTCTAATTATAATCATTCTTCCTCGTCTTTTTCTAAATTGTATTGTTTGACTGTATTCAACTGAATTATATATAAGTACTAGTGCCGAGCCGGATGTGGAAGCCCTCGGGGTCGGGTCAGCGTTCATGAAAATCATTTCTGGGCCCGCGGAGTTGGTCCTGAGAATTGGGGCACCCGAAGAAGTGAAGTTTGGCTCGAAAAAAAACACGGACTTATTGGGCGGGTTCGGAATTTCCGTTGTGTTTGTATACTTTGTAGTTTTAAAGCGCTTGATGTATTATATTCTTATTACTGATCAACATCAAGATCATCTGTATCGATTTTGGCCATTTAATAAATCGCCTGTATGCATCATAAGCCTACAGAAAGTTAGCTGTTTCTCTGCAGGTAAAGTCGTGTAAATTCCTCTTACCACTGTCCTTGGTCGGTTCTTGTCTCCGATCTTTTCCTTCATCGATGTAATCATTCATATGAGCATCATCTTTCAGTGATTCATTCAGAGCTGTCATCGACTGTGATGATGTTTGCTCTCTGAAACTTCTTCGAACGGCTGCTATCGGCCCCCTTTGCAGATTCTCTTCCATGTATGAAGATGGACGTTTAGCTCGGTGCATCCGCGCATCATACTCTTTAAAATTGTCGCTCAGTAACCATACAATGGTTATAATAGTAACAGTGAGAATGATATTAATAACAATAGGATCCATAAAGGATTGCCTTACAGAGTGGAGGATGAAATGGGGTGCTGATTTTGCAACCGTATTTGGCAATGAAGGAAAATCCCCTGCTCCTCCGGATTTCTTTTTTAAGGATTTGTTTTTTTTTTCATTTTTTATTGATCATAACAGTGATAATAACAGGTATACAGTACGATTTATGATAGCAGTAGAGTAATACTTGAGGAATAGATTCGAACGATAACCTCGCGTATAGTTCTCATACGGTTCAGTTGTTGTGGCCACATCTCGGTAGCTTATTACCTGTTGATCCAACGCATTGCTCTTGTTTGTAAATGCATTTGATCTGTCAGTTGTAAGTGTTGCTTTCTCGACGGTGTTCGTTCGTTGTTCGGCATCCTTTAATAAATGATCATACGTATAATTAGCAAACTGCATTCCGCAGGGACAGAAAGACCAAATCTGCTGCCTGTTGACATACATATCCGCCCTCTATCCATATACCTCACTCCTTTATGCTCCCAGTTTTTGTATTCCCGGTGAAAAAAAAACTGCCTATCAATCTGCGCTCATAATGCTCACATGATGCATCACGTAAAATTGTATTTATGACATTTAATGTGCACGTCCCAGATCTGTTGCTCATTCAACATATTACGATTGCAACAGTATAACAAATCTAAATTATTTCTGTTTGTTGCATCACTCATTCATTCATATAATAATCAAACCGTATAAAATTGGCACCGACTCGATGTCGCATTTGTACATCAGCTGATACAAGTTGGTCTTTTTGTCGTGGTGATGGTGGTGAAGTGAGAGGTTGCTCTTCGGGTGGTGCTAAGAAATCTGACTGAGCATCTGGTTGAGAGGTGGGAGCTGGTTTTAGTGTGAAATTTTCATTCAGAAATGATTCATGGTCGTCATGATACTGAATAGCTTCGCTACTATCATCATGTGTTGATGTTGTCTGAAGCAAAATTGGACAGAATAATCACAGAATGAAATGGTCAGTTGATCAATGCGCTGATATAATTGACTGATAATGTTGCAGTTCATTTTAAAGATTTGATACGTTATCAGTTCGTCGTATATCACCTCAAAGTTGATATTGATGATCACATCATTTGATCACTTGATCAGAAGAGATAGGTTTTTTTTTTGAACTGCTAGTTATAACTGATGCTAATAATATATGCGCTGTTACTATTTTCGGGATGGATTTCATCAAATAGTGATGGGTATGCTTTTGCGATTTCTGTGAGAGCTTTTGCGTTCCAATCGATGCTGCAGTTGTTACTCGAGTTCATAAAGAATGTTCAGGTGTGGTTTAAAGGCTGCTTCAAGTGACGTGTTAAAAAAAACTCATTGAAAATTTTCAGTTTCGGGCAATTTTACAGGTATTTGAATAAGCCATGCAAAAACAGCGCTCTCGTGCAATGTTGCCGTGTGACTACAGCTTAGATCTGTGAGCAGCAGAATCCACCTGCAGAATCAATCAGGTCTTTAGGCACGATACAGCAAAAGAACGTGCGGTACAAAATTGGTCTGCAAGGTTTCGTAAAGGTCTTAGAGGATTCGACGATTACCATACCGTAGGACACCTATTTGATGACGACTGCCTTAGGACACTCGTGCAGGCGAACCCTAGATGGCAGAAATGTGTTGATTCCAACGGTGCTTGTTTCTAATGGAGATCCCGAGCTTGTCGGAAGTTACAATATTTTCAAATTTTCGTACGCAAGTCGCAAAAGCATATCAATTAGCCTAATATAACGAAAATTATGCTTTCGTTTTCAAAATATCACCCATCTTAACGGGGAAACTTAGCGAAGAAGTTTGTTTAAAGAAGAATTTAATCGAAAATTCCATTCGTTTATATACTTTCGTCTACCAAAATCATATCAGTGACACGTAAAAGTGGATATAAATGAATGAAATGACAGTTAAAGTATTCACGTGCTCGTGTGAACGATTCGTTTGATCAACAGCAGCATTTTCAAATGATTCATTTTGTTCGTTATATTCACTTGGTTCAACGTAACCGTCCTCGTAACCGTAGCCATTGTGCTGCTGAAACACTATTCGAAATGAGAGTAATACTAAAATAATACACATATTGTAACGTGTGATAGTGCATGCCTCAAGCGGACTGTCCGTCGATTGCGGTACAGGAAGTTCAGTGAAGAGTTGTCTCAATGCTCCAAATAGAGTCATATAGTCCCGTAGCCATTCAGTGTGTTTCTCAATGAAAAACTGAAGTGATAGCATTCATTGACTGATCGCTATTTATTAATCATTATTATTGTTATAATTATTATTAGTATATATTATTATTTATTATTATATATTATTTATTATTTCTATTCGTTATTATTAATAATTATTATTACTATTTATCATTGTTATTAATTATTATAATTGCTGTTTTTCTTATTATCATTACTGTTAGCGTAAATTGGCGAATGGGACAGAAACAATAGGAAAAGCTTAGACTGCAATGGTCTTTGCCACTAGTTGGTCAGTGCAAATTGCAGTTTCCCAACAATTTTGAGTTTTGATCACGGGGCTGTAGTATTGTAGTTGAGCAATTAGACCTTATATCGTTGATGTTGTTGTCGTAGAGCCACATTCCTCTCATCGACGTAGAATTTTGAGAGTGGCTCAGAAGGATCCTTCAAAAAATAAATAAATAAACTTTTCATCGAACATTTCATTGGATCATTTGTTTTGCAAAGGAATGATATCAATTTGAAAGAAACAAATAACAGAATAGAGTTGCAACGAAATATCAACCTGTTTATTCTTTCGAAGACATTTCTTCATTGATTTCTCCCGTTTTTCATACTCAGCACGAAATCGCTTCAATTTCGCTTTTTCATTATGTCCGTATTGGTTGATCATATCCATTAAGGAACTAAACTTTTCGATCTGAAACCAACGTGACGAAACTTTAGCAACATTTCTCAGTGCAGTAGAATTTTTCTTGTATTCTGGCGCACTTGCAATTTATCTGCCCTCTCAGATAAGTTTTGTTGAGAGCAAATGGTTGGATAAATGGAGGATGAAGAAGGAGGAACAAAAGCAAAATTAATGAGATTGAGGTTCTAGTTAATAGAATTTGCCTTTAATAACAACGCATTGGCTAGTGTACGTATAAAAGGAAGTCGAAAGGACGAGTATACAAGTGACCAATAATGACAAAACTGATTGAATGCATTCAGTAATAGTTGGAAAATTTGAATCAGTATTGTTGATGAAATATAATAAATGAATGAGCTAAAATAACTAAAACTTTGTTAAATCAATGAATAGCAAGAAGGGTGATCGTATGCAAAAAAAAGAGATTATGAAAGGATGGCACTTCTCTGGAGTGAATTAAACGCATAAAATTAACAACCGTTTCAGAGTGTCGTCGATTCACTTCACGCATGTATGTTGCTAATTCCTTCAGTTCGGCGGCCCTTTGTCGAGCAGCTGCATATGCTTTATTTCCAGAATCAGCAAACGCATCGATACTTTTTATGTATGCTTCACTCATTTTTTGAACATCTTAAAATTATCACTGAATTATTTTATGAGAATTTTTCGGTCAAAAAACAAAACAAAATCTGTTTTTCTCAAAACTTGTTTGTTCGTGTAAACTCATGATGGCTGATTAATGGTTGTTGATGTCAACACTTAACAAGAATTCATTGTTCAATTATGAATTATATGCTACTGGACAAACGAACGAGCACAGTTCTTATTCAAGTGTGTTTACTTTACTTTTTTTTCTTCCACTGATAGCAAAAGTGCAAGTGAGTAAATTTTCTGTCCATAGAACTTCGCCCGAATCTAACCAACGAAAGAGGTTTGAATTAAAAACTGAACAACATTGTTCATCAAAAAATTACTTCAGAAACATTGTTCATCAAAAAATCACTTCAAAAAAAAAAACAGTTTTAGCCGAAATCAAAAATAACTCACTTCGAAGTGAACGCAAAAGATTGGAACCATTTTCTGCCACATTTTTCATCGCTGAAACTTTTCCAAAGAAAATGAGTGACAATAAATAAAATTGGGACGAAGCATAAAACCGATGATGTGAATAAAATTGAATCAACGCAAGAATTGGTTTCTGAGAATGGCAATTCGGGAAATTGATGTGGTGTAGCGCTCGAAGCTCATATTAAAACTACTTTTATCCTTACTGCTCTAAATCATGGACCAAATTACGCTTAAGCTTGCTTCTAAGTGTGACTAAACGCTGAATTGATGTGCGTCAGCTTTTTTATTTTATAAGGCGCTCAAGCGGTCGAACCACTTGAATTCGGTAGAGGATTATGTTCGAGAAAAGTTGTTGATGAAGAAATAAATGAACGAATGGAAGAAGAGCGTAAAGATGTGACGAAAATTGAAAGTTATGAAAATAGTGTAACGTGCCTGGTTGAAATTTACTGAGTAATTGTTTATGCACTTCATGAATAACCTTTTGAGGTGGAATATCGCTCACTTCATTCATGCATATCATCAGTGCAGCATCCACTGATGCATTCGAATTATGTCGGCTCATTTCATAATCATCGCTCGCCATTCTGCTCAATTGCAAATGATCAATTCATCAAGAAAAAAATTACGAAATTCAGCAATCTGAAATTTGGATAGCAAGATTCAACAAACAACTGAATAGATGAATGGATAAATAAATGAAACAAATAAGAATGAATTGCGAAGAGAATGAAATGAATTTTTGAGGGCTGAGGTAGTGTTTGTTTGAAATATAGCTGGCTTACTCCATTCAATGAGAATAGGTTTGCGCTCTGAAACGGAATTTAGCACTTCTTATCAGTTATCAGTACATATCAACCATGAATGTACCTATAGCCATATAACTGTGCACACCTATACAGCTGTATAGAGCTTATGCCGTCAAAAGTGTACTATTGCTGCTTCACTTCATAGTTAAAAACAGCAACTGATCTTATCTTTCATAGACCGCATAAAATGTGAAATACCTCTCATGCATTGTTGAACTGAAAGCGAAGATATTTTTGAATGATTGTCAACATTATTTGCTCGACGTTCATCTTTGAAAGCATTCCTCGAAAATCCTGCCCAATGCTAAACACGATGAAAATACGATTATAGCTCTCACTCATGTACTGTATGCTCGAAACATACAGTTTGATCACTTGTAGAGTGAATATAAAAATTTAATTTGCAATTGTTGGTTTTTCTCTAACGTAAGCTCGTCTTAAGCATTCATTCTAATTTTTTTTGTTGCTGGCAGTTGTATTGGGACTGTTTATTGTTAGTTGAAGTTTGAAGAAAGCAGGATTACGTTGAATGGCAAAAAAATGAAATGGAGTGCGATTTGCATGAAGAGAAGAAACGGAAAAAAATGTATAAGAACGATTGGTGCATTTAACATTAACGTTAACAACTTGTACATTATCAAGGAATTGAAAAGATTTGCGTTTTTTGGTTAAATAATTGAGGAAACACTTAGCTTCATCGCTCAAATAATAATAACAATGCATACATACGTGCATGCATCCACATAAATAACAATTATTTTGTCAATCAACGTTGCTGACTGGTCAGCAGTATGAAATATTACAAATATGCTCGTTGCATTATTTCACCCGAATATGAGCATCGACTAGTGCCAGGAAAGTTGTTGATAATGCTGTCACAATTGCTCAATTTCAGATGCTAATAACTTAAAAAAAACGACCTTACTGCAAACCTGTGCACACTATAATTTTTGTCGTTAGCAGACAATAAATTCCAACAACTCTCTTATTATTATTCTCAGCTACGCCTATAGTTCTCTTCATATACCGAAAATTATTGACTAATCCACATGTACAATGGTGTGAAATGTTAACCTTATAAAATAGCATGGGCATGATCTGGCCAACCAAAAAATCCCTACTTGATCGAAACAGATCACGGAAAAATGCACTCTCCCATTTCGACGCCTCTTCAGCTGATACCTATCTTCAGTGCGGTAGAATAATAAACCTAATGATAATACACACCTTAATTGTAATATCATTATCCTTGTTTTTATTAGCATTATTATTGCCATGATTATCATCACAGATGTAGACAAGGAGGATGGAGGAGGGAGGAGAGGCGGAAGAGGTGCGAAAACCCACCCTAAAATATAGGTGTTTCTTAGGACCAAGCCGTTTTGTATCTTCCCTCCTCCTTTATATGGAAAAAATCTTGGCCACACGAATGGTTGCCATTATTATTATTATGATTGAAATTATTGTTACAATCATTATTAGTTTAGTCGTTGTCAGTATTATTGAGGGTATTGTTGTTGTAATATTATCGGTATTGTTTTTAGTGGGTTGTCAATCTTTGAGAATTATTCACGCCAAAGTGGCAATATTATGCTCAATAAAAGCTGCAACGCATATACACGAATACGCAAATAGTTGTCATAACGTCGTCCATTTTGGTCAGTGTGGAGTAGTTCTTATGCTCATATGTTAATAGTTATTCACTGAAGTTATATTTCAGTCGTTATATTAACCCTCCTTCTCTCTTGCCAATACGCCCCATATTTCACACGTTTCTTTTGAACTTCCAACTTCAAATTCTAATCTCAATCCGTTAATCTTGCAGCCACAAAAGACCTATACCTGATACAGTTTCATCAAAAGATGCTTCAACTTATATGAATTATTGATTTCTATACATCCATTCATATTATGGCTTTTTCAATTTTTATTGTCATTACTGTTATCATTATCAGTGTCATTAGAATTAGTATTATTATTTATATTGTCACGAATAATATCATTACTGGTGTTTTCCTTAGTATAATAATAACAACTTCAAATAATAACGATAATAATAATATTATTATAATAATCAAAATCACTCCTATTTTTAAGTATTACCGACATGTTCAAACTTTATTATCGCACATCAAACTTTATTTTGCCTTTTCTCTCAACAATCACCAAGAATCAAGTATCGTCAACGAATTAAATTTTAAAAATGGATGCAAGTGGCCCTTGTCCGTGATTATCAACAGCATCATTTGATCATTCCTTTCTTTTTTCTCGGAGCCTTTCTCATAATTAAGATGTTGATAGCATATAACATCAATCGAACGGGCAAACGTTTTTTAGCAACAGAACTGAGTTTTTTTATTTTTCCAGTTCAAAGTAACTCTGATGTTGATTACAGAATAAGAAGTACATTCGTTTTACAATTACACACTTTGTTAGCACAAACTAACAAATAGTGGATAATCGAATTAATATTCTCATTACTACCACTGTTGTTATCATTATTATCATTGTTGTTATAACAATTACTATTACTGTTTAGCACTATTATTATTATTATTATCACCAGTGATGTCACGTAATCGTCATGTTGATGATATTTTGAACATCAATGTGGGTGGTAAAAAATACACTGTTCGAAGAACGGATCTGATTGCCGATCCGAAGAGTCGTTTAGCCGAATGGTTCAAACCGGGTACGGTTAAACCATTAGCCACTGATAAAGGCGGTATGTTGCTAAAATTCATTATCATACCGAGTAGATAAACAGTTTATCAAACCCGATGAGTATGAAATCGAAATGCATCCATCAACGTTAATCACACTTTTCAGCTTAACAAGGATTGAATGCTACCAATAAAATCTGATGTGCGCCTTTCTCGAATCATCACCTACCTTCTCCTGTAATCAACGCAAAGCTTTAGCTGCGCGAGATCGCAATGCTATAGCTTTTTTTCCGCATCAGTTTGTCCCAACACATAAAAAGAGTTTTGATCTTTACAACATTTTTTGCAAAATTCTCATTTTCGATTGACAAGAAAAACTGCCTTCGATATTACCTAGATTGGCCAGGCTATCCAAACGTTTGTAAAGTTGCTGGCCACAATGCTCGCGTTTCCGCTTCCACTGGTATGATTTAATATGGTATGATTTAATCAACTGCTTGAAGGAAACTACTACTTGGACAGGGATGCGAAAACTTTTCGCCATATTCTTGCCTATCTCCGTCTGAAGAAAGAACGTTTCGTACCATCATTAGCACTTCCGTCGAAACCTGATGATTTAGCGAAGTAAGTCTTGAAGTTATTCATTCCTTTCACTGGTTTCTAATTCCAAACAAATCTGATTCATTTTCACATTCAAACTCTGTTTTTGATTGATTCATTATTCTTAGCTGAAGTTTCCTTTCATTTTTTGATTTATTTCTGTAAATGCTTTGGTGATTTAACAAATATACAGAACGAGTCTGTTTCTTTTTCTGTTTTGTGTCATTGATCAATGAGATAAATGAGATAAAATCCAAATTAAGCAACAGTTTGTCCATGATAGATTTCATCATTTACCGATACTTTTCTTCGACTGTACGGAAGAATGCGACTTTAAATTGGATGATCTCTTTTTGAGTTATGTTGAAAATGTTAGAAAGTTGCAAAGAAACCTTTGAATGGTAGAACCGAGCAAGTGGCGAAAGAAACCAATTGAAAATTTTTCAAAATACTTATTTGAATTTTGAAAACGTAAAGATTTGAATTCGTTTCAAAGGCTTGTTGGTGAGTGTGAAGCGTTGAATTTGTCGGAATTGAAAGAGTTAGCAATTGATGTGCTGCAAAAATATCAACGAACCGAGGAACAACATTACGTTACGTCGTATGTTCAAATTGCCTTACGAGATCTGGAAGCATGGCATTTTGAAAAAGAACAAGGCAAACAGGTGAATATTAGGCCCATCTATTGTGTTCGATTCGCAGTCCCAACAACGAAAAGATTCGAAAAAGATAAAAATAGCACCATCAGCGTCAACTCTCCTCGAATAAAACCGTTCAGGTCGCTATCCACCCGAAGTTATATTAGTAGTCAGTCTAAATTTTGAGCTTTGGCTGTGAGCATTTGCACTGAGAAAAATCATTTCTTTTTTTTTTCTTGGATTGATCGGCAGCGATTCGGAAATGTATTTCATGGCTTCGATAAAAGCGCAAAGTCCACTGCAGTGGTTGTAACCCTGTTGCACTTCTTGGCACCTGTTGGCTGTATGGCAAACCGCCATCTCCTCTTCCAACAATCTTTATGACCCTTAATTCTCTTCTGGCAATTTATTACATATCAATATTATCGGATATTCACGCAGAAAGTAGTTTAAAAAATCAATCGACGATGAGTTACCAATCTCCTCATTCCCCTTCCCCTCTTCACTCGAAACGGAAGGGGTTGAGGAGGGAGGGGGTGGTAATTTTTTTCCTCATGAAAACCGTTAGTCTAAAGCTGGGTTTCTCAACCGAGAATGCATGCATTCCTAGGGGGTGTGGGAAAGGTACGATGAGAGGGGGTGCGAGTTAAGGTTTTACTTTTTATAAATTAAAGTAGGCGAAGACGGAGTTCAACGCATACATGGGTGAAAAGTAGGCAATACTTTAAAAATAATTCTTTCGGTCGAATTTTATACATAAAAAAAACTATTGTTGTAGGAGTTGCAGTGGGCTAAAAAGGTTCAGAACCACTGGTCTAAAGAGTAACAATAGATTCAAGCTCTGTTTTTGTGTGTTTTTTCTGTTCTAGAATAGCGTTGCAACGAAAAAGAAGGCTGCTGGTACGCCACAAGAGGAGAATTATCCTCAACAACCTACGTACGATGAATGGGACAATATGTGACTGGCAGGCACGGATAAGATCACCGAACCAACGAATCACTTCATTCCACTCGCAAACAATCCTTCGCTACACAAAAAACTCCGTCATTTATCATTTATATATAGCTTATTTCATTGACGTGATCACAATTCCTTATTCGCATAATATATACATACATTCAAATATAAATAAATATATTCGTGATATTTTATGGCTCCATAGACAAATTGTGTTGTGAACACTGCATAAATTCAGCATTAAGAACTACCGGATGAGACTGGCAGAAAATTGGTGTAAATCAAATCACCGGAAATACGGTAGAACTTTAGGTTTATCCTAGCAGTAAGCAGTTATTTTAAACGATGAAGGACAGATGTCACTATTGAATGAGTAATTTTGATCTAGTCTGAAAATACAGGTATGGACCTTAGTTGCAACCATGCGTTACGCTGAAGTTTAAACTGCTGAAATGAGATGTTCATTCTAAGCAGTCAACATTTAGTCTCATTGAACCATAATCATAGCAACAAGTAAGTTCAACTTGTGCAAACTTTTAGCATGAATAATACCATTCAGTAAATATGCTCTTCCGAAAATTCAGTTCTTTTTCAGTACGGGCGTCGGAAAATATTATAATTATCTTTTTTGACTCCAGCGTATAGATTGTTCGATCATATGAGTACAGCACAGAAGGAAATCTGTAAAATTATATCACTGAGGCATTCAGCTTCGCAGTCAGAGAACTACTTTTATTCGTGTTTATGATTTCATAACATTTCAGGTCCTTTTCTACATGAAATTTCAAAAAATTTTGAAATTTGAACTTCAAGCTAACCAAAATAAGTCAAACCTCTAAGCTTCAATGCCCATATCATCGCAATTCTGCTTTCATTGTCAGATTATGATATAAAATTCTGAGAAATAGTGACAGCCATACAATTGCACACCTCATAAATGTGCACGACGTATGTGAATATATAGTGCAAGAGATCCTCAGTATCACGCATCACTGAACAGCTTAGGTACTATGTTTTCTAACAAGCAACTTTACGCTGTATCAAAGAACAAATCACATTATAATTTTGCAGCGCAAACTTGAACGCTTAGGCCAGCAGAACGAAGCTGTGTTGAACGATCTCGTTACGGATTCAGAGAGATCCCCGATGAAAGTGCTCTATTAAAGATTCTGCTCAGCAGTTTCAGGAAATGCTCTGCACAAATATCATAATTGTCTTTACAGACCTCCGTTAGGCCCGATAAAAGCACCGATTAGCCCTAACACAATCATCATGTTGAACTATATTTTTCGGCTGCTAAATGCTTTTTATGGAGCATGTAGGTGCTTTTGGCGGAACTGAAGAATCCTCTAAATCAAAACTGAGAAAATTTTAATGAAACTTTTCATACCCGAGTTCATGTGTCACCTGAAAACCGCGCTTCAAAAATTTTCCATAGTTAACAAATATCAATTAATGATCGACATAGAGACTAAAGTGCTGTATAAAGACAGCTAATAATCAGGTGCTTGCCAGTCAAAGTTGAAGTGTGGAGGTAACCTACCGTATTTTTCGGACTATAAGGCGCACTGCCAATCAACGTTCTAATATCGAACTTTCTTCTTATGTAAAGCGCACCGGAATATAGGGCGCATTAAGGGGAAAAACCTTTCGCCACAATGCACTTATAAACCTTCATCAGCGCAGTATGACAAACAAAATCGCTTCATCTCAATTCGATAAAGCAGTCGTGCTCATTCACGCAAATTGATCACTATACAACAGTCAATACGTTCATATTAGCAATAGACGGCTGTGATCTTCGAGCTAACCGTCTTCTCACGTTTGCTCTGAAACATGCGAATTTCTTTACACCGTTCGGTGCAACATAACCTCTAGATTCAGAATATTAAAAATTTTACCGAGCAATTTGGCCTTGTTGATGAGATAT